TTAAACTATGAAATTGAAGAAGAAATTTGGAGTGAATATGAAACGTAAAGCTACAAATGGGACAATTTGTTACGAAGTGGATTAAATTCATTGACTAACAAAGATTGAGACAAAGAAGAAATGAATTTTAAGTTACTGTGAAAATCATTTCTTTAGAATTAAATTAATTGGTTAACAATTCAAAGGGATAAATGTTAGAATTCTCTAGAGGGGAATCAAGATGCTGTTCGATATATATTTATGATTTGGCAGAAAGATACTCATTATACCAGAACTTGCAAAATATATACGCACAGACGTTACTGCATTGGAATTGGAAAATGCTATTGGAATTGGAAAATTAAGATAAATCGTATCCTAAAAAATATGTCTCACAAGAAGAGATATCAAAGACTGTGAAGGTAATATTACATGTGGGGCATCAACAAGTTTTGGAGTATAAACGTGAATAACTGTACCAAAAGATTTATAGAACCTAATAGAATATAGTCAATGTACCTGCATCCTTTAAATATCATCCTGGAACTTTATATCTAAAATTGAGTAGAGAAAGAGGTTAAAAGTCATTTAAAGTCAGCATTATTCAAATGTATGAATCCCGAATCGTTTTTAGGAACCTTATATAGATTTTTTGTCATATGAGGTAAAGTAGTGACATTTGCTTCGATTATGGCACAAACTTTGAGGGTGACGATAGAAAATGTGTGGTTTCAATTTTTATATATTCTACATAGATCAGCCGCATGTAGATTTTTGCAGTTTTATATATAGAACAAATCTAATATACTCAGATTATATTTTATATAACATTTCGGCATACTTTCTTTTGGCATTACAACATTTAAATTTTATTTTTTAAACAGTTCTTCAGCATTCTGAAAACATTATCCATGTTCTCAACTTCCCAAAGCAGCTTGTGTATTTTTTACAAAGGACTAAAGCACTACAATATATTGAAAATTGATTTTCTATGGACATGAGATCTTGTATAGAGAAAAAGCTTCCACTACGTTTCAACCGAAAGTATTCCTTTTAGTGGACATGAAAACTATGCGTAGACTAAATAGTTTCTGCAGTAGATGGGCTCACATTATTCGCATTCTTAGGGCTAAACTGCTATACCACCTATGGTATATAAATTTTGAGTGGGTATTGATATTAATACGTTAAGAGCTGATCATGCCTGTTGTACAAGTCTCCCATTTACTAGAGTTGGGGAATCTCTTTCCTGAAGCGGCTCGATTTATTGGTTCGTTTTGCATTCAGTTAGTTTAATAGTTCCTTGGTAAACATAATTTAAATCGTTTAATAAACGGGAAGATCTAGAGCAAAAAGGAACTAAATGAACTGAAGACCTAATACCGATCGTTCCTTTTTCTGAATACCAATTACTGACATTTTCCATGGATATGACATCTCCTATAGAGAAATAAACATCCACTAGATTTCTACAGATACAATTCTTGTAGTGGCCATCAGAAATATGTGCAGGCTTCCTAAAGAATAAATAGCATCTATATCATCATTCGAATTCGAATCATGATAAATAAATTAAGGGAGAATATTTGAGGTTTATAGTCACGAAAATGTTAAGAGCCCAGCACACCTGTTCTGAAAGTCTGTCATTGACTAGAGTCGCTTCGCAAAAAGAACTATGCCGTTCATTTAATAAACGGTAAGGTCTTCATGAACAATTGAATAAAATAGAACTAGGTGAACGAGAGCAAAAATAAACGACAGGATCAAAAATGACTAGATGAAAGAAACAAGCGGACCTAGTACCTATAGTTCCTTTTACTGAATAGTTAATTTGAACTGTGTTGTCCGGAAACGCTCCAACTCTACTCTTGATTGGGGATTGTTTAACTTTTGCATTTGTTTGTATGCACGAGGCTCGTTTAAAAAGTATACCTGTGTAACAGATGATCACTCTGTTGAGTTCATTTTTTGAACACATTCAAGCGTTTCAACTTTTAATTGTCAAATTGCCCCCGTGATATTTATTTTCAAGGCCTGACATCAAATTGTCAGTTATCATGACACGATAAATTTCGCTTACATAATTTTTGAGCAAATATGAAGCGATGATGTGGCGATCATCTTTGAAGTCGGACTAGAAACGTCGTCAGTCGCCCTTTTTTGGTTGCCACATTCATTTTAAACTCCATATTTTTTGAAAACATGAAGCGATGAAGTTTGAAGTCCGATTACAAACATCATTGGTCTGTATACAAAATATATTCTACTTTACGAACATACAGCTTTCTATTGATGCTGAATTGATGAAACGTCCAGGCAGGATGTATTTTTGCTTTCGCCGACTAAAATAATTTAATAATTTAATGAGGCTGGAGACTGATGTCATTCATGGGCTGGTGCGGTCTTTCTAACAGTAGGTTTTTTATAGAGCAGGGATTAATATTATAGGAACTTTAACTTCTAAATGAGGTTAGAACCTTCAACCACGCTGAATCTGTAAAAAAACTGTGACCTACACTCAAAATTGTCTGTGAGCCAGACTTTACGAAAATGGCTCTGCAATTTTTTATAGGGGCCATTACAAAACACAGACCTATATATCCCATTTGTAATACCAAACATTGGTTAGGTAGTAATTTCTAAGGTCTATAAAATATTTCGAACATTATTGTGATTTGTAAAGGCAAATTGGCGAATATATGCAGATAATACCTCTTTGACGAATATTTTGAGATATTGAAAATGGTATGCTAATTTAAATACGAATTCCACATTGTAAAAAGACTGCAATGTTTGTTCAAATTTAAGGAACATTAAATACAAATGTTTGAATTTTTACTTTGTTAAAGTTTGGAAATAACACCGTTTTTAAATATGCCGTCGGAATATTAAGACCTAAAAAGGGTTATTTCTTATAATTATTTTTTTCTGAAATCCTACGGTAAATTCCTTATTCCCAAAAAATTAATAATACAGATAAAAATTTAATTTTCCAAATTTGTTGTATATTTTCATAAAACATTTCTTAAACTATAGTAATAAAAATAAAAAATAATAAAAATTCAAAAACTGAAATAAAAATATTTGTTCTTAAAAACTACATAACCTCACAAAATAAATTTTTATACATTATTTACAAAACAATTTTCACTAAATTCACAACAAATTTATTGTTCCCTTTTGATTTCCACAGATTTCGATGGTGAACAATCGTCATGTTGTTTGGGTGATTGCGATGGACTGGAGGGATTATTGCCGGACATATTGAAGGTTGGTGATTCGGAACCTTTCTTTTGCTTGACACGACGATTTTGGAACCAGATTTTAACTTGTTTCTCGGACAAACGCAAACGGTTGGCAATTTCAATGCGACGCAAACGTGACAGATAGGGATTCATGGAGAATTCACGCTCCAATTCCAAGAGTTGGGTGCTGGAGAATGCGGTGCGAATGCGTTTGCTGGAATCGGCATAATCGGAAACGACAGGAGTAATATCCACATTTGGTGAGCCGGATGATGATGTGGGACAGATGGTTTGGTGACTGTTGTTTGTCTGTGTGGGTTTCAGTGGGGAACTGGATGGTGAACAGGAGGAATCATGGCGATAACGTTTTGTTTGTTGTTCATCGTTGGAGGGATAATCCATGGTAGAGGTTGACGAGGAGGCTGATGGTGAGGTACAATAGACATTGTCAGCTCCCAATGGCAAAATTTGGCCATAGGGAATTGTGGCATTGGGTAAGATGGTGGCAGGAAGGCTGTTGTATGCGGTGTCAAAGGCAGCTGAAGCTTTACGCTTTTGAGCCAAAAGTGTGGCATAGGGATGATAGGATTGTTGTTGTAGAGCGGCAGCAGCTACTGCTGCGGCTTGTTGTTGTTGCTGCTGCTGTTGTTGTTGAATACCCAAGGAGAACAAATAACTGCCCACATAGCTGGCCGGATATGGCAGCATGGGGATTTGGGGCAACATTGCAGCTGCTGCTGCAGCAGCGGCGGCAGCATGTGCCGCATTTGTGGCAACCGGTGTCACAGCAGTTGGAGAGCCCAAAGTATCCTTTTTCAGGGGCATATTATCGCTGAGCAAAGAATCCATTAAAAATGAGCGAGACATTTTCGGTGAGTTGTTGTTGTCGTTTGTTTCGTTTAAAGAAAAACACGAAATAATAATTTTTTCAAAATTTTTGTTCGCAAAAACGATTAGTTGTTGAGATAATCACTGATGATGGTGAACTGATGCTCTCTGCTCCGGCGATCCTGACTTATATAGTGAACCACCCTTAGGACGGACAACCAGGCACCCTTAGCCCACAAAACTACCCTGCACGCAATTGCAGTAGTAGTTGGTGTTGTTGTTGTTATTGTTAATCTGCCATAACTGTTAAAAGACAATGCCTTACAACTTCCTACCACAACAAATTATAATTTGAGGGTTGTTGTTGTTGTCATCGTCGTCGCAGATTCATCTACACAATAATGAATCAACCTTCCTTCTAGCCAGCTAGTCAACCAGCCACCATTGTCTATTGTTGCCCTTATATGTGTGAGTGAGTGTGTGTTTGTTTGTATGCCTGTATGTGTGTACAATTCATTGATTTAGAAAAACCCCTCAATGCCTCTGACAAATTAGACAAATAGTTTACCATTGCATTGGGCATTGTTATCCTCGGTTAATGATTTCAAATTGTTGTTGAACTAAATGTTATGCTCCGCCCTTAAGATGGGTACCCGGGCAAATGCAGGTACCTAGTAAAAGAAGAGGAAAACAACAACAGCAACTGGAAACATTATTGTCTTGTGTCTGTTGTTTTTTTGTGGCGTAGATACTGGAATTATTGTTGTATACTTTTTTGAATTTTGATTTTAAAAATTATTCATTCATTCATCGTTGCAGGGCTTTTGTCTGTGGCACGTTTTCTTTTCCACAGTTATATAATCGAATTTTTATGTAGTACTCCATTCTAACACGATTTCTATGCTTCACGCTATTTATTAGGCTTTTGAATTCAAATTTTTGGGCGAGTTCAACTTTTTCGTATTAGTTTTAAGTTTTCTATTAGGGATTTATTAATTTTTAATTTTTGAGAAATTGGATTTGAACTTAGATTTAAATTGTTTGTAATGAAGAAGAAGGGCGAGAAGTATCATTACGGATAAGTCCACATAAAATTAGCGATTCAAGTACATGTATAGAGGAAACCTAAGCCAGAAATTATAGCGAATATTTATACTTTAAAAACTTGATTGGTTTTCTATATTTTCAGAGCGGCAATTGGCGTTATTTGAATTCTGAAAACATATTGGATTTGAACCTAAAATTTAATTTCAAAACTGAAAGACAGAAGGAGTATCCTTAAAAACCGTTCCACATTCGCGTTTGAAAAAAATGTATCCTTATAAAAAATTTACAATAACCACGATAACCAGCACCGACGGAGGAGCATTGATAAACTCCTTCCCAGGACACAACGGATAAAGGAGATAGTATTGTTGTGACATTTTTCGACATTGACCAAAAACTTTATATTTGTATGTTTTTCTCGCTGATATATGATCGAACATAATTTTGGGCAGAGAATCGAAGTTTTGCATGGGGAAGGGCATTTCACCAAAAAATAAACATAATTGTTTTTATGAAGATCGGTCTAATGTACCAAGACTTTTGTGTTAGTAGAGTAGAGTGTAAAAAACTCGCGAAATATTGCCCAGCATTGGAATATAGATCCGAAGAAAATTTTTATTGGAGTTTTGCCTGTAAGGGCGATGATGATCATTGTATGATTTTTATGGCAGTTATCTCTTTTTCGATTCGATTAATGATCAAATTGTTTGCAATAAAAAAGAAAGCTAGGGTAAAAACCTAAGAACACACCGAATTAAATTCCAATTTACCAAGATACGACGTTTGTCTTCACTCTAGAATTTAATTCGCAGATGCAAATTCGTATTAGCTGCGTTATAAATACATGTTATAAACATACGACCTTTGTAAAGCCACATTGCCCAATGCGCCTGATGAACCGCCTAACCAACGGCGTACTATTTTTTTTAAGAATTTCGGATTATTGACCATGCCATTTCAAACAAAAACCAGTAAGGAAAGTTCAAAAGTCGGACAGGTCGACTATGTGATACCCTTCACCACTTTGAGTACATACAAGATATGTTAATATCTACAATATCCTGTACATAGAACAGACATAGAATCTTTGGAGGACTATTGAGATGAAATCGGGCGAAAATGAATGTGCAATCTAGATAGATATTTGAACCAATTTAAAAAACTCCATACACATTCCATTATGAAATCAATGAAAAATTACATGCCAAACGGGCAGACTTGGATCCTTTTGTGTACCATTTGCATGAAGTCGAGTAAAATTATGTATGGGAGCTATATATAAACACATGGACCTAATTGAGCAACCGTTGCATACACCATTTGTTTTTTGTTATCATTCTAAACTCAACTTAATACCCTCTGCCAAATTTCGTGTAAATCGAACACGGTGCAACATTTACATAAAATCGAATGAAAATATGTATAAGACCTATATCAAAATCTGAACGGATTTCAACACACCTTATCACACATAATTTTTTCCCAATCGGACAAATATTGGGTGTTTGGTGCACCATTCAAAAAAATCGGACGAAACTATACATGGGAGCTATATCTAAATCTGAACCGATTTTTACAATGCTTGGCATATATCACTCTAGACCTAATTCAGTACTCTGTGCAAAATTTTGTCTCAATCGGACAAATATTGGCAGTATGGTGCTCCATTTACATAAAATCGGGCGAAACTATAAGTGATTCTATGTATATTCTCAAAAGGAACCATGGGTCTATCTCGATTCCTTTTACCTGTTACAAACATTTGCACAAAGACATAGTACCCTGTACCACAGTGTGGTGAAGGGTATAAATATTCTTTTGATGTACTGGATTTATCGATATCCCAGCGAAAATTCTACATAGTAGTCCCATTGAAAATGTATAAAATATTGATTGGTTTGATATTGCGATATTTTAAGAAGTAGGATGGAATTCATGATGTCGACAATCAGTATCATACAGATTTAGGAACATTGGTGGTTTCTTGCTTAAAGTGGACGCAGTTGCATTATCCTTATATAAGAACTCTGGCCGAAAAGGTTTGAAATGTTGTGCTAAGTAAATTTGATTTTTTTATGGAACTGTCTTAACTTCCTGGATGTGAAATAGAAGGGTTACCGACGCAGTTTCAGATACGTTTATTTTCGTCTTGAGAACTGAAAGTGGAATCACATGGAAGTAGTTTTATTATTAACATTTCACTGTTGAAGAAGTTCTCTTCTACAAAATAATCATTACTGATCTGGGCTTATTGAGATTTCATCAATCAAAGTTTTAGTATGGGTCACATTTATAGGTATCACTTTTTACCTTCGCACAGTACAGATCAAGGTTATAACCGCCATATAGGCCTGTTTGCGGCTATAAGCTTTTAATAAAATGTTCCTGGGCCACACCCAAGGTTAATCCAATTGCGAAGAATTATCAAATCGATTCAGATTTAGGTTATGAAAGCTATCATATATATTTTCATTCGATTTTATTGAAATATCCAAAGATTGTACAATCGCCACGAAATGTTGCACATCGTACCGAACTGAGCCTAAAATGTGTATCGATCGATATAACTTTCAGGTAGCTCTCAGATTGATTGCAACGACATTTCAAATGCCTACTAAGTAAAGGTCTAACCCAAATTCGCTGGGAAAATCTGATGTTGCTTCTAGACAATAGGATCAATGGTTTTAAAATTCAATTACAGTGTTTGAACACTCCTTCTGGTATATTATATGATGCTAGTAGAGTATCCGATATAATCCAAACATCACACAAATAATAGCTCTATTGATTCAATCCATTTGTTAAATCCTCAATGGTGGTAACATTTTTGATAAAACATCATATAAAGAAAGTGACGAATCTGATTTATTTCAATATTAACATACCCTGAACATTATAATAATAATTTGTATACCCTCCAGCATAAGGTGGTGGAATGGTCTGCGTTTTGTTATAGTCACTATATAACGGTATCACCGACCATTCGGTATTTTGGGTTCTCATTGGCTAGTAAATCTTATTACAAAAATTATCCATATTAGTCCAGTTTTAAGGTTTGTGTCCATATAACGATGCATCCCAAATTTCAGAATTTTTGGGAGTATATTAAATTTAAATATTAAATTGTCATTCTGTTTGCGACACCTTGAAATATTCACTGGAGACCCAATAATGTAAATATGTATTTTTGATCAGACTATATATAATTCGATGTCGATTTATGCATCTGTTGCTGTCTGTTTTAATCACGGTAGATCTCGCAATATTAAAGATATAGCTTTGCAATTGATATTACCACTAGGATGATATTGACGGTACACGTTATGGTATAGCCCCCTTATTCGTTTTTGTTATGATTTTTTGGAAGTTTAAACAGTTTACACCCTTATATGAAAAACCTAACACAAAATTAAAGTCTCTACATATATTTATGGAATTTTGGACAGCGCGCTGCCGAACTGTGGCAGGATATCATATAGTCGGGCCGTCCGACTTTTGTGTTTTTACCTTATAGGTTTCATATTTATATGAAACTTAATGGTGGAAACAAAATGTTCGTCACCAACACGCAACCTACTATTCCACAGACATGTAGAAAATAACATAAAAAGGTAAAAAATTATTATATAGCTATTTATCTGTCAGCAACATTAAATAGTACCCTTTAAATATTTGAAAATTTATTTTTCAAACTGCATGACTGCTATAATCATAGCACGTCTAATTCATTACACAATCTGAAAAATGACCTACGCTATTCTACTGATTGAGTTGTAATTAGCATATTTAGTTTGTTTCAAATTTAATTCCCTTCCTCTCAAATGACACTTTTTTGCCACACTTCCTGCTACCGCTTTTTATGTTGCATTTCACAGCGACTTAACTAAATCTGCTTAAAAAATCAACTCGAAGCGGAAATATGTCTTAACACTAGAAAGACGGGAATTTTGTATATACCTATATTGCCTAAAATCGGTCAAAATGACTTCATTCT